ATTCAACAAGAATAGAGCCTGGGAATTATATAAAATATATGTAAATGTAATATTTTCCCTTGTAAATTGATGTAAATATGATCTTTATATCGTATATATACTTGCCAGGCACACTGGCAAGGGAGTGATGGAGGTCTGCGCTCGGATGGATACTCAATTTGGTCTTGTTAGAAACAAGGTATTAATTAATTATGAGAATTAAGCATAATAATGTGGCTGAAAGCAACTAACCTTTAATTAATTGCTTTGTGATTTTACATATAAACTTTTACTTATGCAATTAACCCAATACTTTCCATGCTTGTTATAACTAAGTAAAAATATAATTACGTATCACTACAGTATCATCTGTCACATCAAAGATAAAAGAAAACTCAGGCTAACCTAGTTTTAGTGTTTCCTAATCTTATCTAGGTAAGATTCGGCCAAACGATTTGTTTGAGATTAGATAAAGTTGTTAAGTTAGTTGTAAATTTAAAAGTTCGATATTAGTCAATGCAAAGCCTAAGTTAAAACTCTGTGAATATTTTTTTTTTATCTTAAGATCTGGTTATACTTAAGTAACAGTGTAAGACTTTTCGATATTGTCACCTTATTTTTAATAATGAAATCTATTGCAACCCAAACGATAAGATACAAAAAAAAAATGAACCAAATACTATATAAGCTACAAACCTGAATATCCTGGAACGAATTATTACAAAAAAAATAAAAATAAAAAACGGGTAGTGGTGTAAAACATGGCCCGCAGGAAAGTGTTTACCGGCTCCTCAGCACCAAACTGACCACACACTGTTCGAGCAACTTGCAGTAATGCCACAGTCATGCCAGGCAGACTCTAAAGGATATGATCAAAGCGGGACTCGAGAAAGCATTCTGCGGTTTACCGCGGGAGGATCCTGGCCAGTTGAACCATCATCGAGGCTAGAAAAGAACGGCGAGTCACGCCCCGTGGGACTTGGAGCCGCTATGTATGAAAATTGTTTTGTCACGGAATAAACATACACGCACATACACACACGCACACACGTACACACACACACACACACACACACACACACACACACACACACACACACACACACACACACACACACACACATACATTTGCAGGACCAAACAGCCAAAGCTCAACCCCTCCCAACCCCCCCGTAAGCACAACTAGGTGAGTACGCATACACACAGGGGTCTCGCGGCTGAGTGGACAGCGCTTGGGGGTCGTAGTATAAATGGCCCTGGTTCGATTCTCGGGGGAGGCGGAGACAAATTGGCAGTTTCTTTCATCCTCATACCCCTCTTCACCTGGCAGTAAATAGGTACCTGGTAGTTAGCCAGCTACTACAGGCTACTTCCTGGGGATGTGTGTATGTGTGAGTGTGTTAGACAGATATATATGTAGTAGATATAGAAAGGGTTTGGTGGCATAGATTGGTGATAAAGGTTAGGTCCATGAGCTAATAGCTCGATTCTGCCGACACAAATAGTAAACACACTCACACACATACACACACACACACACACACACACACACACACACACACACACACAAACACACACACACACACACACACACACACACACACACACACACACACACACACACACACACACATACACATACACACACACAGGGGAATTGACAGGGTGGACAAAGACAAACTCTTCAGCACGGGTGGGACACGAACAAGGGGACACAGGTGGAAACTTAGTACCCAGATGAGCCACAGAGACGTTAGAAAGAATTTTTTCAGTGTCAGAGTAGTTAATAAATGGAATGCACTAGGAAGTGATGTGGTGGAGGCTGACTCCATACACAGTTTCAAATGTAGATATGATAGAGCCCAGTAGGCTCAGGAATCTGTACACCTGTTGATTGACGGTTGAGAGGCGGGACCAAAGAGCCAGAGCTCAACCCCCGCAAACACAACTAGGTGAGTACAACTAGGTGAGTACACACACACACACACACACACACACACACACACACACACACACACACACACACACACACACACACACACACACAGGAAGCAGCCCGTAACAGCTGTCTTAACTCCCAGATACCTATTTACTGCTAGGTAACAGGGAAGGGGTGCATCAGGGTAAAGGAAACTCTACCCATCTGTTTCACCGACGGTTGGAATCGAACCCGGACCCTTGGATTACGAGTCCCAAGCGCCGTCCATTCAGCCACGGTCCCTGTGCGTGTGTGTGCGGATGTATGTCACCTGTAGTTTCGCACTCAATCAGCTACCGTTCAGTGACTGGCGCCCAACTGTACACTTCTCAACTCCCTGCGGCCACTAAGTAACCACGACCTTCAGTCACCGTCCACTTCCGTTGTTCTATCGCTCTACATCCGCATGGGAATTCTGCTCGGGAAGTTATGGGGTGATCATGTCCCACACCACCAGTGTGTGCGTGTGCGTGTGTGTGTGCGTGTGTGTGTGTGTGTGTGTGTGTGTGTGTGTGTGTGTGTGTGTGTGTGTGTGTGTGTGTGTGTGTGTGTGTGTGTGTGAAAAAAATAGCAGTTAGTAATAGTTGATTGACAGTTGAGAGGCGGGCCGAAAGAGCAGAGCTCAACCCCCACAAGCACAACTAGGTGAATACACACACACACACACACACACACACACACACACACACACACACACACACACACACACACACACACACACACAAGGAAGGAGGGAGTGGTCTTGTAGCTATCGCCCTGGGATGACTAACTCAAGCTAGAATCAACGACTCCTGCTGGGCGCCCAAGATAAAATATTCAACAAACATTAGGGCCAGTCTCCCAACACACGAGGATGACGCTAACACATGCTTGACGCAACACACGAGGGATGACGCTAATATCACCCTCGCAACACATGGGGGAGAAGCCAACATGAGCCCAGCAACACACGTGGATGACGCAAACACTGGCCCCCACAACACACGAGGATGCACACTGGTCGCCCGAGGCTGACTAACAGCGCAGGTGGGAACAAAGTCTTCGCACCGACCCCTCTCGCTAAACTGTGCCCCTAAGTGTTAAGACCGCTTGGCCTCCATGTTAATTCCTGGCCGAGCAAAGCCCATGGTGCGAGCCGACAGCAAATGCTGCCAAGAAAAAATTCCAAAAGCTCTAGTCCTGAGCTATAGAGTTAGGATGAAACTCACTGTGGAGACCGAGATTAAAGGTTTGCGCCAGCTGATGCTACTTAAGGGTTTGTAACTTGCTGCTCAAAAGACACAGCAGCTGAAGAAGCCGAGTCAGAACCTGTAAGATATAATACAAGACTAAACGCAGATCAAAGACTGTCAATAAGGGTTCAAATACTGACGTCTGGGATTCTAAGGCAGTAATATGGCAGCTGTCTAACAGGGTGACCACAGTCTGGGTTTCTAAGGCAGTAATATGGCAGCTGTCTAACAGGGTGACCACAGTCTGAGACAGGACAAGGGTGACCACTGTCCGAAAGGTGGCTATACTGTCCGATACTGTAGACAGGATGGACACAGGAAATGATGACAGGTTAACCAATGTTCAAGAATGAATCATGTTAGTCAAATATCACATGAGACTATGCCAAATGCCTATTCATTGAAGCTCATCGCTGACTGGCTTAGTGATATTAGTTTAGCGCATCAGGCAGCAGTACACCCGAGGTCCCTTAACCTAAACACGCCTCCTCAACGTGGGGTCAGACATTGCAAATTGGGGTTCTCCACAGTCATATGCGCTGCCTAGTGGGAGGCCTAATTAAAACATGGACCTTAGCCTGGGAGGCAGCAACAGAGACAAGCGCTGCAAGGTGAAGTCAAATACAGCAGTGTGGGCAGCCGTGGCGAAGTGGGCTCTAACACAGCACTACGAGGCAAGACTGTAAAGTGGGATTTTAACACAGCACGATGATATCGAACGCTGTAAAGCGCGGGTTTTAACGCAGCACGGCAGGATCAGACACAGCAGCGTGAGGTTCTTACACAGCCCCCACACGATTAACAGCATGCTCAGGTCAAACGTATTCAAGTGGAATCGAACAGCGCGCTGGTGGGAGGGGATCAGACGCTGTAGGATAGGATCTAACACGCCACAGTGGGGTCAGGTGCTGCCGAGTAGGATATAACGCTAAGAGTCACACGCTGCAGCAAGAGTGTTCGGGTGGGGGGGGGGTAGGGGGGGGGAAGGGGTTAGATGCTGGTGTGGCATGAGAGAGGGGGGGGGGAAGATTGTGGGCCTTGGGGGGACGGGGTGGGAGATGGGATGAGGGGGAGGGGGGATGCGTGGAGCGGTGGGTGGGGTGCCATAATCGGTGGGGTGGCTAGGCGCGATGCAGGTGACCTCTGTACCCACCCGCCGCCTCACACACACACACACACACACACACACACACACACACACACACACACACACACACACACACACACACACACACACACACACACACACACACACACACACACACACTCCACACCCACACTCCACACTCCACACACACCTGACCCGACCAAGACACACGTGCGGGTCACCTGTCACTCAACACACCTCTCCCGCACATCACTGCCCCGCCGCGCCGCCCCCCGGCTCCCCCCCCCCCCCACACACCCGCAACAACACCGTGAACGTCTGGGGCATCAATGACGTCGTTACGGTCTGACCTCGTTGTCTCCCGGTGGCATTTCGCGCACAACCCTTCCCTTACGATGTTCCGAAGTTGACTGCGTCGGCGGCGGCCCGACCAAACCACCGATTATCACCCACAAAATTCCTCGTCTGAGCCGATGACAAGGATATCGGTCGTTAGTGCACCCAATGGCTATCTCTTTGGCCTGGTGTTGACATGTAGTGGTGCGGAGAGTACTCTTTCTCGGTCACATGTAGCGTCGAGCGCGAAAACAGACACGTAAACAAATCGCGGGTATTGTCCGGCATAAGGTGGGAAAATGCATTGCATGAAGGGTAAGGATGCGGGGCAGCGTTGCATGGTACGAGTGTTTTGGGGGTTACTTACCGTGCTCGGCGGATGGGGCTTGGTGGTATAATCCAGTTTGCCTCGTGGTGATGGCTACAGGAAGAGTCAATCCGCGTCCAGAAGGGAGAAAGAGCCTCTGAGAGGGGCCTTAAAGAGATAACTGACACAGAGGAGCAGCCTACGAGTTCTCCCTACCACAGCTTATCACCGACTGAGGCTGCCACCCAGCCCGCGCCCCGCCGCCTAGGTTGCCAACTCGCTGCCACACACAACACACGCGCACCACGCTGCCTCGCTCAACACACACACACACACCTCTTCTATTGTACTTCTTCCCTTGCCTCCTATCAACACCACTCACACTACTCCTCTCCCCCCACCCTCGCTTGTGCATCGTCAATACGATTCCTTGCCATCGGGAACTATATCTTTGGGACATGAGGGGTAAGAGGGAGGAAAAATGCCAAGGAGAACTCATCTAGCGGCAACAGAGACCCCGGCAGGCGGGCAGTACGATGCCCGCAGCGCAGCAGAAGTAACCAAGGGAATATTCAATGCAGCTGTAAGTAAGCATCCATGGGCCAGAGTCGGTCGTCACGACTACAGGACCACCACCAGTACCCACTACCACCCAACCATCACCCACCACCTCTACCATCATCACCACCACCCACTACCACCCAACCACCACCCACCACCTCTACCATCATCACCACCACCCACTACCACCCAACCACCACCCACCACCTCTACCATCATCACCACCACCCACTACCACCCAACCACCACCCACCACCTCTACCATCATCACCACCACCCACTACCACCCAACCACCACTACCATAATAACCACCCCCACACCACTACCATAATCACCACCACCCACACTACTACTATTCCCATCACACGTCCCACTACCATTACCCCTCCCACCTAACTACCATTACTACCACCAACCAACCCACTATCATTACCACCATCAACTCCCAATACCACCACCTCCATCATTCTGATCACTGCCATTACCACTACCATTATCACTCACAACCCTCTCCTTCACTCATGGCTTCTACTCCCACCATCACCACTACGGTCACCATCTACCACCACCACTAAGGTCCCCACCTACCACCACCCACCATCACCACTAAGGTCCCCACCAACCACCACCCACCATCACCACTAAGGTCCCCACCTACCACCATCTACCACCACCACTAAGGTCCCCACCTACCACCACCACTAAGGTCCTCACCTAACATAACCACTAAGGTCCCCACCTACCACCACCCACCATCACCCCTAAGGTCCCCACCTACCACCACCCACCATCACCCCTAAGGTCCCCACCTACCACCACCACTAAGGTCCTCACCTACCATAACCACTAAGGTCCCCACCTACCACCACCCACCATCACCCCTAAGGTCCCCACCTACCACCACCCACCATCACCCCTAAGGTCCCCACCTACCACCACCACTAAGGTCCTCACCTACCATAACCACTAAGGTCCCCACCTACCACCACCCACTATCACCCCTAAGGTCCCCACCTACCACCACCCACCATCACCCCTAAGGTCCCCCACCTACCACCACCACTAAAGTCCCCACCTACCACCACCACTAAGGTCTCCACCTACCACCACCACTAAGGTCCCCACCTACCACCACCACTAAGGTCTCCACCTACCACCACCACTAAAGTCCCCCACCTACCACCACCACTAAGGTCTCCACCTACCACCACCACTAAGGTCTCCACCTACCACCACCACTAAGGTCCCCACCTACCACCACCACTAATGTCTCCACCTACCACCACCACTAAAGTCCCCCACCTACCACCACCACTAAGGTCCCCACCTACCACCACCACTAAGGTCTCCACCTACCACCACCACTAAAGTCCCCCACCTACCACCACCACTAAGGTCTCCACCTACCACCACCACTAAGGTCTCCACCTACCACCACCACTAAGGTCCCCACCTACCACCACCACTAATGTCTCCACCTACCACCACCACTAAAGTCCCCCACCTACCACCACCACTAAGGTCCCCACCTACCACCACCACTAAGGTCCCCACCTACCACCACCACTAAGGTCCCCACCTACCACCACCACTAAGGTCTCCACCTACCACCACCACTAAAGTCCCCCACCTACCACCACCACTAAGGTCCCCACCTACCACCACCACTAAGGTCTCCACCTACCACCACCACTAAGGTCCCCACCTACCACCACCACTAAGGTCTCCACCTACCACCACCACTAAGGTCCCCACCTACCACCACCACTAAGGTCCCCACCTACCACCACCACTAAGGTCCCCACCTATCACCACCACTAAGGTCTCCACCTACCACCACCACTAAAGTCCCCCACCTACCACCACCACTAAGGTCCCCACCTACCACCACCACTAAGGTCTCCACCTACCACCACCACTAAGGTCCCCACCTACCACCACCACTAAGGTCTCCACCTACCACCACCACTAAGGTCCCCACCTACCACCACCACTAAGGTCCCCACCTACCACCACCACTAAGGTCCCCACCTACCACCACCACTAAGGTCTCCACCTACCACCACCACTAAAGTCCCCCACCTACCACCACCACTAAGGTCCCCACCTACCACCACCACTAAGGTCTCCACCTACCACCACCACTAAGGTCCCCACCTACCACCACCACTAAGGTCTCCACCTACCACCACCACTAAAGTCCCCCACCTACCACCACCACTAAGGTCCCCACCTACCACCACCACTAAGGTCTCCACCTACCACCACCTACCACTTCCATATTCTACCTGGATTGCTCCGTCTCCTTGGAACCATCTGTTTTCCTACTTTTAAAGGTGTCCTTACTTGTATATTTTCCGGCAACATTTTACCCTTCACTTTCGATAAGTAATTCCCCCAGTAGCCTATCATCATTCAGGTCACGTGCCAGGGCTACGTCCACCCTTATCCCTCGTCTGCATGCCTTCATACCAACTTCATCTGCATTCACCATACATCCACGTCTTGCATTTCCTCCTTTCTTCTACAATCAGCATTCTCCTATCCTTCTTGACCTCTATCCTCCAATCCTTCTCTCAGACACGCGCCCTCTCAATCCCGGTGCTTCTTTGCCCTTCTAATCTTTCCCTTTTACGTCTTACATTTCTTCTTATTCTGTAGTTTGAACTTCGTAAATGTCTGGCCTCGGGCCAAGTTTCGCTTCGAGGTCACGAAGAAATCTTTGGAGCAGGGCGGTGGGATTGAACCCGCGTCCCGAGTCATCACAGACGCCGCGCCTCACTAACGGACCGTAGATTTCTCACGGATATATATTACATGATTATGATTTGACTCGTGTATGTCTCCTTCATCTTCTACAGCCCGTCTTCCCTCTCGACCAGTTTTTTTTCTTTCTGCTGGCATTATGCTTCGGTCAGGTGGAGTTACTCCTCTCTCTCTCTCTCTCTCTCTCTCTCTCTCTCTCTCTCTCTCTCTCTCTCTCTCTCTCTCTCCCTTCCTCTCCACCTGCATTACTTCTCCTTGACTCGTATTACAACTAATCGTATCTATCCTCGATCTCTTATCCCGCGTCTCCACTACCTGCATTCCTCTCCCCCCCCCCTTTTCTCTCTTCTCGCTCCCTCCCTCTTATTCCCCCTTCCCCCCTCCCCCCCATGAATTCCAGCCTCCTATGCATGCTTTCCTCTCTCAGGCACACTGCATCCCGACCCGCCTCACCCTTCTTCCATCTCTCTCTCAACTGATTAGGTTCCTTTTATCCTTCTTAGGGTAAATCCAGTTTTACCTCTCCAGTTTAATGAGGGAAATTATACTTCGTGAATGTATGTGTGCTTGCCTACTCTTGTGTGGAAGAATGAACTCTGTCTCATGGGCCCCGCCTCTTTAGAATTAATCATCTGCCGCAACTGTTCCTTCTCCTTCATATGCTCTTGAAATACCTGCTTCTTAAAATGTGGATGAGGGTCCCTTCACTACCTCTTCTTTAAGATCGTTCCATTCTTGTATTACTCACAATAAACGAATCATTCTGAACATCCTCCCTGAGCCACAAGTGTGTCTAGCTTGCGCCTTGTGTCCTCGCCTCAAACAATGCCAACTCGATTAATTCTTCCCCAGGATCTTGCACGTAGTGGCCATATCTTTCCTTGCTCTGTTTCCTCGTTATCAACACTTAGTTTTCTCAGTCTTCATAAATCATATCTTTTATTTCTGGTACCATTTGAGTGGCGTATTTCAGTGCTGTCTCAGGTTTCTTTTCCCCCCTTGATGTGTGTGTGGGCTTCACGCTGAAGATACACTCTCGTGCTGACCTTGAGAACTTTACAAAGTGTTCTGAGTGCTTTCTTGCTTACGTTTATGAAGGCTTTTCTTATATTATTTTGTTTAGTATTTGCTGTTGATGTGATGTTATTGCTGCGTTCTTCTGGTGATGGTCTTGGTCAGGGGCCAGATTCACGAAGCACTTACGCAAGCACTTACGAACGTGTACATCTTTCCTCAATCTTTGACGGCTTCGGTTACATTTATTAAGCAGTTTACAAGCATGACAACTTGCCAATCAACTGTTGTTATTGTTTTAAACAGCCTCCTGGTGCTTCCAGACCTCATTACCTGTTTAATAATTGTAAACAAAGCCGCCAAAGATTGAGAAAAGATGTAAAGGTTCGTAAGTGCTTTCGTGAATCGGGCCCCAGATGTCTATACCAAGGTCATTTCACGTTTCAGAAGCTGGGTTGCCTCATCCTCGGATTGTTATCCTAGTTATTGTGTTAGTTATTGATCTTCTGGTCACTGTTGCCATCGCTTAACAGTTCTCAAAGTTGTTTTCTTGCAAGTGGTTGGGCACCATTCCTTTCCTCCGTCCTTTCCGAAATATGTATCCCTTTCAAGTATTATAAAGTTGTAATGGTTTAGCGCTCTTTGCTGATACCTTACCTTACGTTGTTAGGTAAGGTATCAGGTTAGGTTAGGTTGGGTTAGGTTAGGTAAGGTGTCTCCTATGTCACATAATAAACACACACACACACACACACAGAGGGCTTCGTGGCTGAGTGGACACCGCTCAGGGGGGTCGTAGGGCCCCGGTTCAATTCCGGCCGAGGCAGAAACAAACGTGCAGAATTGAACAGTAAGTGCTGTATGT